CTAATTGCTGTATAATTAAAATTCCACAATCATGAAACCAGAAATGAAACTGGACAACAGCGCATCTGTGCTGGAAGTACAATAAATTATAATTAATTAACATAGCTTTTTATTTTGTTACTTCGAAATCATTTACATTTTTTTTAAATCTTTTTACCAACAAAAATTTCCTGTGTTGATTGGTGTTTAAAGCTTAAAATAAAGCTTATATTATCGACGTCGATTTATCACGTATACGACTACGTATGTAATGTCGCAGACAACGTGTAGAGTAAAAAGCTTTTCGGCTCTGTTAACTTTGCAGAAAAGCGCGTCGTCTCTGTTATCTTTGAAGAATAGCTTTTTGACTCTGTTAAAATTCGGCTCAAGCTTTAATTTTTTCAAATTATTTACGCACTTTGTAGACTCTACTGTCATTAGCCAAGTGAAGTGCGTCTTTGGCAAAGGAAATGGCAATTTTATTGCCCAGAGAGATCATTATACCTATAATATTTCTGCTGACTTCGGAGTACTCCGCTCTCTGTTCTGCCCTGCTCTCTAATTGACTTCAAAGTTCAAAAAGCAAATTCTGTTATTGTATGCTTTGGGGGAACACTTTTTTGGATATATTCTTGAAAAATGGTAGAATATTTTAGACAGAGCGTCTAGAACTTTTTGAACTTTAAGCGTACACATTAACGTAGGTACTATATTTAGAAATATTTGTTCGCCCGTATGTTCTGTGCCCTCAAAGGCCGCAGAACTACGCGAGAAATGGCGAAGTCATCTTAATAAAAAGAGATACAAACGCGTCTCTCGTAATGCCTGACAATGGAAGATTTATATCCGCAATGTGAGAATGTCAGCGGCTTTTGATTTCCTGAATAATCTTTATGTTCAGGCCCTCGCCGCCGGCGGCAGACTTTAGAATGTAATTCTGAGTTATAATAAATGAACTCAATCACGTATGCTTCCCAGTTAATGTCCTGAATCGCCGCTGTCATATAAATTAATGCCGATTCTTAGGGCCTTTGTGCCGTGTTTTCGTTGGACAATGACGTCATTTGCGGTATGAACTTTTGCCAATACTTTCACCGCTCCGCTCGGTTGCAAGAAGCCATATGCATTGTCTTAGAGCAGCAGCAGTTTTTGGTGTATTTGCTCACGGCATTAACAACAATTTGGCCCGCCTGCTAATTGGCTCGAAATGTGGCTGGGCCACAGACCACTAGACCAACAAACAGCATTGCACAATGCGGGCCAATCAACCTGGCAGAAATCTGACTCAAATGCCGTGCATTGTGTGCCAAAAAGTTTTCCTCAGATAATTATAGACGGATACACATATATCCCAAACGTTGAGCCCACTCCGACGTTGCTCGGCCAGCTTTCGGTTTGCATTTTATTCGGCTTTAATGCTGCTTGTATCTTTTGCTCATTTGCCAGTTTACAAGAGACCTTGACACATTTGGGGCGTGTGTGTTTTTGTGGCTTTGGCCAAAAAATCTTCACAAATTATAAAAAACCAGCGACGATCTCCAGCCCAGCCTCATTCACATCAAAAGCCGAGTTCGTTTCAAATTCGAAATCTACCAAAAAGCATTACAAAAACCAAATGAAACGATTGCAGTTTCGTAGATCTCTCTCTGTTAATGGGGCGTCGACAGCGTCTAATTGTAATTAATTAAGCCAAACCGCTTGCATTAGCAGCTCTTTTGCATTTGCCAGGCCAGACGCTAAACACCAGTCTAGAGTCTGAGCTGAGCTCCAGCTTCGCGCTGCGTTGCGTTGCAACAGTTGCATAATATTTGGCGAGCACCAAAAAGAAACAACTTTTGAGTCACTGCAGCTCGGCTGCCGACCCTCCCAGCTCCAGCCCCAGAGCTGGAAACTGCAGCGGGCACGGCACGCGAATGAATGCGCCAATCTAGAGAGGAGACAAAGTCGTGAGTGTAGTCGTGAGGAGAAGACGATCATTCGCTAGGAAAACTCAGACGTGAAACTTGATATTTTCCTGAGCTCAAGAGTACGTTCTCGATTTTCGAATGATTTTCAAATACTTTTTACTTCCCCTCACGACTCCATCGCCAGCTTAGGCGTAAAAGACATAAAAGAAATAGGTGATTAGGACACAGCACGAAGGCGAGACGAACCCGAGCGAGTGGCGAAAACGAGTTTCAAGCGAAAGGGAAATTTTATCGCAAAGTGCAATCCGTTTTATGAGCTTGAAATTGCCGCCGCCGCCGTCTCGATGCAATTAATTTAAAGCCAGGCTGTGGATGTGGCTGTGGCTGTGGCTGTGCCAGTGGCTGTAGCTTCTGTCACTCAGTCCAGGTCCAGTCCAGCGCCATTCCTCTGGCAGCTTCCCAGCCAACTTCCTCGTCCCAGTGGCGACCTTGTGCCCGTTTTCACAGCAGCATAAAAAAAGTAAGAGAGCCGAAACAAAACCGAAATGAAATTGTCTGAATGAATGTCCATTGGCCACTGGACTGGGAATGGTTGGGGGCTATAAATGCGCAATGTAGCAGACAAAACAATACAACAAAGTGTAGATTTGAAATGTGCACATCGTGAAACAAAAGAGGCTGAAACAGAAACAGACACAGAAACGGAGACAGTAAGTGAAGCTGTTGCGAGTGAAATTGATGCCATGGCAAACCCTCAAAATGTTGTCAACCAATTTCTTTAATGCTTTTTGGACATTTGCGCTTTTTCGGGTTGTTCAGGTTCGGGCCAAATGCACTGGCCAGGCCGAGTGGAGTCAACAAACTCGTCCAAGGTGTCGCTGCCGCAGCATGACTTGCCTAAATCCGACAGCCTCTGAAACAAAGCAAAGACAAAGACAAAAACTTAGAAAATTGCAAGCAGAGTTTTTTGTTTGATGGCTTTTTTATTGGTAACAAAATGTGTGTTGGCTGATCTTTGTGTCTCAAGTGCTGTTTCCCTGTGGGCGCATCAGATTAATATATGAACTAAAACATCAGCGATGTACATTACGAAATTGGCAGACTACGTTTACAAGAGTCCCGTCTCGACTACACAAATTGGTACACCATGAGACGGCAGTTTGCTTGTAATATTAGCTTGAAAACCTATTTGAGGCATGCTTTTGATGATGAGCATTTTGAATCTTAAAGTTTATCTAGACAGTTGCAAATTGCATCATATCCAGGCCTGGTTAATGATGAGGAGCCGTCTGGCTGAATATCAGTTTTCAGGGCTCATTAGCACGTTGCCTGTCGTCTTCCGAAAACCATGTCAAGTGCGACGGCAACGCATTTTGTTTATTTTTTTATATTTATTTCTTGATACATATGCACGCGTACGGACGGATAAGCTGAATACATGCTTGTACAAATGCGTAAATTACTTGTATTTTAACAACAATTATGTCCATTGCGACGACAACGAGGATGTTTACAGGCACATCAGTCAGCCAGCCAGTCAGGTGCAAAATCGCCTTTATGCCAGCCATTAAATCTGACTGACAAGCCAGGTCGGATCAGGCCGGGCCGGGCCACGAGGCGTATGAGTAATCCCTCCCTGAAGGAAGCTCAGCAAAACAATACCCTTCATATGAAATACGTGTACTTACTGATTCGGCAGCTGGATAAGCCGCTGTTTTGGGTCTCGGGACCGCATATAGCAGGCGACCTTGTCACTTAATTGCCGTTTAATAGCACCAGGGCTATGCTCGAAGCCAGAAAAATGTAAAAATCCATACCAAATATCCAATTGGTCAGCGTATCGCGGTCTTTGCAGCATGTGCTGTGTCCATCGACCATCGACCATTGACCATTTACCATTTACCAGCTGCTTAAAATGTTCGAACGCGTTTGGTTACAACACTCTTTCCGATCCGAACCGATGCGATCGGTAGATGGATGGCACATTTGGCCAGCACTTTGGGGCTGGCAGACACCCACAGCACACAGCACGGTCGATCGGCCAATCGGTTAGCTGTGCATTTTCAATGTCAGTATTGCGCAAATGTGAATAGTTTTTTTGGGTTTGTGGTCAGGTTTTTCGGTTTTTCTTACCCCAAACGGCAAACGCCCTTAGTCACGCCCTTAACGCCGGCTTGTTAATTTTTGGGATGACATTGAAATTGTGCAATGGGCAAACAACAACAAAATGTTTTAATATAGACATGTTTATTGATTTATTGTTGGACAGACAGCCGTCCATCACTCGTCGCGTCAATTCTTCGACCCAAAGCATTCTTTGGCACATTAATTATAGTAATTAAGGCATTTAATTTCGCCTTGAGGTAGCTGCAAAAATGTGTACGTATGTCTCTTTCTATTCAGGATGAACTTTGCTCTACTTGGGCTCTTTACATAAGCAAACCACATTTTTAATTAAAAGTGCATGGGAATTTCAATGAAATTGCAATAGCAATTACAATTTATGAAATGCGAAGCCAAATGAAGCCATTACCCCGATCCGAGAGAGTGAATGGTGAGTGGCGAGTGGCGGTGGCTGCTTTTGCAATTCTTGCCACTCACAAGAGCAAGAGCCAACAGAAGAAGAGCTTCCCCATGCGCCGCAACGCGTTGAACGATAGCCCGCCCTCAAGGTCGTCTCTCGGATTACATCAGACTCGATGCACAGAAAAACCCCAATAACCTGGGCCTGGGCCTGGGCCCGGGCCCTTTTGTGCCGCATGGTTCCCTTCCCCAAATAAACCCCTGCTCAAGCGCCGAAGGTGAACGAGCTGGAGCCAAAAAATGCTGCAGCGGAACGCCAGGAGCGAAGCCAACAAACTCTGCCTCGCCAAAAAGTCGCTCACTCGCAGTCGAGTCGCGTCGCGTCTCGTCGCGCTCATTCCACAAGTTGCCACAAGCGACTCAATCGCGTACGAATGGAATGAGTGGAGTGGCCTTTTGAGTGGGTTTCGGCCGGGCACACAGGTGTTTTTTTTTTGCTTTTGGTTTTGCTTTGGCTTCGACTCGGGCTGAGACGTCGTCTAGCTTTCAGTTGAGTTTCTGGCAGCAAGGCAACCGCAAGTCCACAGTCTACCACGCGTCTAAAGTCGCGCATAAAACGCACGTGCAAAAGTGCAACAGCTTCGGTGTCCCCCACACGTCCGCTCTCTTTCACTCACGCTCTTGGCTGGCCTGGCCGACTGTCCGTCTCTTTCATTGGCAAAGTGTAAAGTGCAAAGCTAGCCCCCAAAGCTAGCAGCGTCGGCAGAGGCAGAGGCAGCATCAGTGAAGCGGGGCTCCAGCCACAGCTCGGCCACCGACTCGAAGTCAGTCTTAGTCGAACCTTTCAGAGCAACGCAAGTGTCTCCGAAGTCTGCTCTCTCGTTGTCGCGTGATTTTCTGTGTGTGCCCCGAAAGTGTCGGGTGTCCGACTAAAATATATATATATTTTGACGAGAATTGTTTAAGCGGAGGGCGCGTGTGAGCAAAAGCCAAAGGCGATCTAATCTATCATTAATTCGTGCGTTCGTGCCTTAAGTCTTTCGTTTGGCGAGAGCAATCAGCGCATCCTACGCTTTTGTGCCCACTGCTCGAAGTGGAAGAGAAGTGGATTATAGCCTCAACAAAAAACGACAAATTTTGTGCCAACATTTGCACAGTCCCCCCCAACCACCAAAATAAAAAGAAAAACTAAACGACGACGTTGACGAGAGCTTCGTAAATCTATTTAGAACGCGCATTGTAAGTGTAAATTTGCTCATCAAACAAATGCCTGGCACGGAGATTTGGAGTTTGTCGAGCTTGACTTGGGCACAAAGTGCTATATACACGTTTCAGGAAATCACTTCTCAAACATTCGCAAAAGGCAGGCAAACAACGGGCTGTGCCCATGGGGATAAGGCAGAATTCTATACAAAATAATACTCAAGCAAACAGAAACAGAAAAATAGAAAAACAGAAAAACAAAAATCAATTCTTCATAAAACAAATGGCTGCCGCTTTGTTGTTACTTCCACCACGATGATGATCATCATCATCAAAGCTATCCACAATCCTCAATAAGATTTACACTCCCCCATTCCCATTCCCATTCCCATGCCTTCATCGGCTACTGTCCGTTTATAATGTTCAAACGCGTGCGTTCTGCGCCCGGCATACAAATGTCCGGAATGAATTGATATCGTCGTCATCGGCTACTCAAAACGCTGTTAGAATGCGGACTCTGATGAAGCCAGGGCCCAGCCAGCTATTGCTACATATTTTCGTACAACAATTTGTGGTATATGTGTCCATAACTTCAGTGGCATTCAGTGCAGGCATTCCACAGGGAATCGCATGGTGTGTCATTCGCTCAGTTGGCCATCAGTGCGGGTCCGTCGACTCCATCGCCGATGCACTTAGCTTAATTTTCATTTTATTGATTCAGTCCATTGGCAGCGGCCTTAATCGGCTTAAATGCTTGCGCAGTGGGAAGCCGTTCAAATGTATCTGTTACACTTTTTGTGCCCCACTTTTGTAGCTTGCGCTAAAAATAGTCAGTGCTAAGACCTAGCTTTTTTAGAGGCCTTGCACAGGCATGTAGCTATATGATTATCTTAGATAATCGCATCTATCATTCCCCATTCTGTGGCTTCAGTCTGCCCTTAGCAACACAATAAGTATCTGGACACACACACAGAATGCAACGCAAACGTGCACTGAGAAGAGGTCATCGAGAAGCCGAGAGCCGTAAGAGAGTCTGCCAGTCTCTGTGTAAGCCAGTACTCGTATCCCTCTGTGCTGGCGTTTGCAATTTCGAGCAAAGTTCAGCGTAATTAAGTGTTGTGACTTTTTGCATTTTCATTGCACAAGTGCACAGAGAGTACAGCGATAGAGCGATACAGATAGACAGATACACAGATACTATGATACTCTGATAGTAGTGAATCGTAATAATAACAATTATAGCAGAGCAGAGCAGAGCAGAGCGGAGTGCTTATGTCTTATAATAAAATGCATTCATTGTCAGATTTTGTGCACCCCAGACCCAGAGACCTTCGCGCGGGCCCTGAAATTAGTTGTCAAGGTCTTCTCTCTTTCCACTCTCCACTCTCGCCATGTGCATTTCCGAACTGAGCCGATCCGAAACTGTGCAGCGATTTAAAGCTTAAACTTGAACTGGTATTTTTCGTCTTTGGGGGTTTTTCTGTTGTTTCTGTAGATGTGTTTTTTTTTGTTTTTTGTTTTTTTTTTGGGGTCTTTCATTCTCTGTATATCACGTCGCGGCTATGCTTTGAGCAGAGTTCAAGGTGCCCCAACAAAAGTATGATGAAAACTGAAGTCGGATCTAGATGCGGCCATAAAAGCGGTGCGACATTTAATTAATATCAAGGCACTCGCTGCCATTAACATAAAGCTTTATATAAATGACTGTTCTGCCCAGTCTACTCTAGAAAGATCACTAAGTGATCCGATCCAATCCGATACGATACGATCTGAATCGAACCGAGCCGATTCGATACGATTCGATCGTGTAATGTAATGTTAGATAATTACGGACAATTTGCATTGCTTAAATCGATATTAAATGAACGGTTAATATTTCCCCCCAGTGACGGGGGGCATAACCAATTAAATTGAACTTAAACCGAACAGATCTCACGGCTGCAATGCAATTTGTTGGTCACATAACGCACTTGATAATTGAGGACTGGTCGACTGGTGGGTCACTTAATGACTAAATGCCAGGGCCTAATCGCTCAATAACGTCAACTTAGATGATTGAGCTACCTGGTTAGACTTAGACACAGAGACCGACGACAGACAGACTTAAGAACAATGTATTTGCACTAATGAAGAGAGCACATACATATGTATTCATAAAGATGTCTATTAGAAAACGCCCCAGAAGGTGGCAACCTCCGGGGAAATTTGTAATTCAAACTCGTGGACATTAAATTTTCAGTGGAACATTTCATGACAGGCACAACATTTGTTGGGGTTCACGCGACCCAATTGGAATGCCGGCTATCACCATCATCCCCCTCGTCGTCCTACTAGTATCTGGAACTGATTGTGCAATAGCTACATGGGGAGGAGGAGGAGGAGGCATAAAACAATTGGGAAAATTAAGTATTAATTGAGGCAATCCAATCGGACATTCTCTTTCGAGTTTTGCAGGAATCGTTGTCGTGTTGTTAACTCAATTCGATTCGATTCAATTCGATTCGATCCGGCACTCCAGAGACTGGTTTATAGATTACCTAGACCAATCGATGGAATTGATTAGGTTCGGCACTGAGTGGCCTACCCTGCTGATGACTTCACACGAAACTCAAACTAATCAAACCAATCAATATCAATCCACCCATCGGGATGGGATTATCTAATGGCTGGCCATATGTGGCCGCCAGTGCGGGTGAGTGCTCGACTATTGATTTGGGCACTGAAATCAGCCAGAAAAGTCTTAAGACCTGTTGCAGAACCAGTTGCCTGACAACGGGTTTGCCATTTGCGGCACTCAACACTGGCCAAAAGACCAACTCGACTCGAAGAAGTTGCAGCCACAAAACTGTGTCGCACACAAGTGCAGCGGGCATAAACACACCGGCAGACAGACAGACAGACAGACGGACACGCAGACATGCATGCAATTATGTCATCGGAAAAGCCAGTCGAAGAAAATGAAAACGCTTCGGAAAACGCAGCACAAACTGGCCTGCTGCGATGAGATCGAAAGTACTCGGCACTCGGCCATAAAGCCGCACTTTGTACTCCCTGCCCAGATGGGAAAGGAGTTCTGTTGAGTGGCATACTGCCAAGGCAGTTCTAATGGGCTCTAGGCTTTCGGCCTACCTTTGGAGGCCGCTTTAATGTCTCGCACATGACTGGGGCTCTAGCTGTGACCGCTTGCTTAATGCCACACACGTAGCCTGGCTATCGGCATTAAGCAGTCTCTTAAAATCACAAAACCATAATGGGTTTTCCTGTCTGCAAAAATAAAAACGAGTAATCTGTCCAGTCACAGCTGCTGCTGCTGCTGAAAAGTCGTTCAGTGGTTGCATTGCCTCATTGAAATTTAAATTGTATTTAATAAATTTATTCAAGCATTGTGTGTGCGACTGCCTGTCCATGCAGCTGGTGGAAGGAAGGCTTTCATGCTCAAGCGATTTGCTCATTGCTCAATATGCGGCGGAGCCTCAGAAAGATTTCAACTTGTTGATTCTGCTAATTCATTGAACCTCTTGAGACTCGCGAGTGAGTCACACCTGCCCGCTGATGCTGGTTTTTTGTGTTTTCACAATTCAGACATTCGATGACGCACGTGGTAGAAAACTTTCCGTTGCATCGGAAAGGCCCCCGGAAAGCCATTGCATTGCATGCCACCACGACTGACCTTGTCACGGCAACGCACTCGGCATGCAAACTACAGATCAGCAAAACCTCAACGATCCGTAGTAGCGTTTTGCTAAGAACTTTGCTCGCTTTGAAAGCTGAAACTTCAACAATAAAAACCATTTGGAGAGCATCATGCAGCCAAGCAGGCAAGAGGCATAGTCAGTCATGTCCAACAGAAACAACAGAATTCCAATGTCAAATGCGTACATTGCTTTTGGGCTCAATTATTATTATGATTATTATCATTGTTGTGCTGACTTAAGCGGCTTTTGGCCTGACTGACTGACTGCCCGACTGACAAAATGCTCAACGTCGAGCCGTTCAAGAAATATTCACAGTTTTCTTTGAGCCATGGATCATATAATGCCGTAGTCATATAGCATGACTTGGCATAACTGCTCGCACAACAGAAGCAAACACCGCAAGGTGTTGATTGTATAATGAAGCCTGGTGTATCGAATCGATATGACCGCATATCGAACGGGGACTTGGCGGGGAATTCCATTCAGTTAGTACGCGTAAAGCTACTTTCCTCTTTCTAGAAGCTCGTTTCAAGGGCTTTTCTTCCCACATTCTCTCGGGTAGAATGGTAAGCGCTTTACAGAGTCATTGATAAATTCTCTACACCTTCTTACACTCTTACACCCGCCTCAACAATCATCATCTACGATGACTGATCGAAAAAATAAACAACCTGCGTACAACGTGACGTATGTGAAATGTGCGAAGCGATTTGAAAGAAATTAAATGCCAGATGCCCAACTCGACAGACTCCCAGGTCCAGCCAATGCATAAATCAAACAATTTATGCTCAAACATGATTATTATTTATACATTTCAGCATTACATTGTGTGCCTGAAACACATGAAACACACAGACACCTCGCAGACACTCGAGCAACTGCAAGAGATTGGTCCGACTTTGGTGTAAAAGTAAAAGTAACTACCGGTTAAACAAAGGCAAATCAAAACATACGAAATAAAAACGTTGAACAAACGTTGGCAAATCAAACAAAAAGCCACCCACTCACCAGCAGCAGTGCACCACCAAAAACAAATACAAAAATGCTGATATCAACGTAAGTAAATCCCGCGGATGAACGTGCAGAGATTACGGCCATAAATCGCAATCAGTGTTTCAATTTTGACCCACTGATGTTGACCCACTTGGGTGCCAGTCAATCGCCCGCCGGTCTATCAGTCATTTCCAGTCTTCCAGTCTTCCCGTTGTCCAGTCATCCAGTTTCCTGCTGTCAACGCCCGATCTCTCGGCTTTAACACTTGTCGACCCATCAACATTGCATAATCCCTCAGCGAGACGGCTTTTGATTTGACTTTTCCAACGATTCGCTTTGCCCTTTTGTGTCTTTTCTGTTTTGGCCATATCTCTTGTGTTTTTTGTTTTTGTTTTGGTTTTGGTTTTGTAGTCGTCGTATCGTATGTATCTCCCTTTTGCATATTCGCCAGCGAACGCATTTCTCAGCGGGGCGAACAAGTTTGTAATTATGTCAAATACCAAAAGGCGCTCTCATTGCATAATCCAAATAATCCCCATAGCCATCGCGAATTATGTACCTCTTCTGGCAGATACATCTTCCCATGATTTATGCTCTCATCCCATGAAGCTGAAACAATGCCCGGCCTTGGTTTTTGCACTTCTCTCCCGCTCGTTACTCAAAATGATGTGAGAGGCCATTGATTTATTTGGCAATTGACAAGTTTGCCATTTCAACGGCTGCTTCCTCGTTGGCCTGTCAGTGGGAGCTTGGGCTTAAGAATAGAAGCCCATAATTAAATGCCATTGACTGAAACACAATACTGGCGAAACAATTCGCTCAAGAGGCAGCTCAGGCCGACAACAAAAGTCAATTACACGATGTCATTTGCATCTTCCGCGTGTGGAGGCGACTTGTATGGAAATGCCTAAGAGATGTATTGCTTATCAATTCTCCGGCTTCTCCGAAGTGGATTGGAATTCCCCGCGAAGGCCCAACGAAAGAAAGAACCAATTGTACGTTCCTGTGGGATCGGCGTGCTTAAAATTCAGCTCATCATCGCAATTGCTGCGTGACAGACTCCAGAGCCAGAGCCAGAGCCAGGGGCATAGCCATAGCCCATAGCCAGGAACAGTTTAAATCCGAGTTTGTCTGTCTGTCTGTCTGCCTGTCTACTTTGCATGCCTCTCCATAGGCTGATTATATGCGATTACCCGGCTCAATCATCAATGAAATGGCAACACGAAAAGCCTTCTCCCTAACGTGTTATATAACCAGAAGATTTAACAGTCTTTATCTTGGGATGACCTCATTGGCACCTCTGTGGGAGTCGCACTGAACTTTGTCTGTCTGTCTCCGCTCGCGGCTCTCCTCTCTCTCTCTCAATTATATATGGGGTTTGAATTCTAAAGTCCGCTATTTGCTCAATGAGTAAAGTGCAAAAAAAAATATAAAATCTGCCAGTTATGGCCCACGGAACGTTCAATTTATTGATTATTCGAGGAAATATACTCTGAGAAAATGACAACATAAAGATAGTGGGTTCCATTTTAAAAAATATACTCATACATATCTTTGGGTTTGTCCCTTAAGTGCCTTTCCATGGAGATAACTCACAGATGTTGACTAATCTCGCACAAATTCTCACGGTCTATCTGTCGTCTGGGTTTGTCACAACGATGTTGCAAGCCAACGCCAACATCTACCAAAAAAAAAAAGAAAAAGACCAAAAATATGTGGCGACTCTGTGGACACATCGCTGCATGCATAAATAGCGCTCTAATAGTTAATTAAATTATCAATAAGCAGGCACAGACCAACAAACACTATCAACATGCCCACAAAACTCTTAGCCATAAATGTCAAACGCACCCAGCTCACAAAAAGAGAGGAGACAAAAATGTCGGTTTGTTTGTCATTATAAAAAACTACTTGGCCTGACCTTGTCCATTGTTGGCTTGACGGTGCGCGCGCACACACGTTTACATTTACATTTACAGATACAGATGCAGATACTCAACCCAGCACACAGATACACTCTTGCACAGATAGACAGAAATTTACGCAACCTACGGGTGTTGGCTTTTGGTCGCCAGTGACTAACTCCGACTACAATAGTACTCGTACGCAAATCGAAAGACTCCGACAACGAACTTGAAACGCATTTCGTCAACGAAATTGCAGCATGACTATTTCTGAGTGCGCTTCGCATTCAGAATCCGTTGTGGCCCAGCCCCGCCCCAAATGTTGTCATGGGGGGACGCATTATGCAAATATTTGATAGGCCGCATAATAAAGCTGCTACTTAATTTTCACCGCAAACTCGGCATCGGTTGTCGAGGATGTTTGCTCGGCACTCGAGCGGTAGGCTGGCCATTGCCGGCCATTGGGCAACCATCATATCATCTCATCTCAGTTCGGATCGGTTCGGATCGGATCGTCTGTCTCGTGCCTTATACAAAATGCAAATATTTGCGGTCGATTGAATATTTATTTTAACGAGAAGTAACGCAACGCAACGCAAGCGATTAGCAAAAATAACTTGGGGTTCGATTGTACCCAAAAATCCAAACGTTTTCGAAAGCGACAACAAAACTGATCGACTGCGCTCAATCATTGACCTTGAACTAGTTTCCCCCCGTGTGTATTTTTTGGTGTGTGTATCTCGTTTCTCGTTTTTTTTTCTTTTCTTATATGACTTGCTTTTTGGGCACTCCGATCCCCGAGCCCCGAGCCCCGAGAGAGTTCGTTAATGATACGAAAGGCCCGCAGTCAAAATATGTTAATGAGGTGCGAAAATGATTAATTGCAGGCAATTATGAACTTTCTTCGCCGAACCATGGCTAACAATGCAGCTAACCTTGACCCAAAAATTGGCTGAACAAAGTATTCCCCCACATGGTTCGGGCCTCCGATGTGCAGCAGTGTAATGCAGGCGAAAACTGCATGGAAAATTGCATAACGGCTCAGACCAGACCACTGCAAATGCAAACTACAAACAGTTTGCATATTTGCTTAACGGCTGGCCTGGCCAACTAGGTTCGCGGCAGTGGCTGAGGTGGTTAAGCAATCGGCCAAAGGCAGAGCTAGAGCTGGTCCGACCAGAAAGACCATTGAGGCTTTAACAAGTTTACTTTACTTACGAGTATAGCGATTTGCTTGGTAAGCATTCACTTCGGTGTCCGACTTTGTCTTGCCAACTTTGCCAAACGATCACACACTGACCACCACTGACCACTGGCCAAGTGGCCAGAAAGCGCGTTGGGCAAGAGAGACGAGTGTATCTGTTGGACCAACTATATGCTCGTAAATATTGAAATGAAAAGTGTTGCCAAGCCGGGCTCCATTGTTGCTACTTCTCTCTCTCATTTCATGCTTTTTTGCAATGTGTGCCGCTGACATAGTTTTCAAAGCGCCAAACCACTGAAGCATACACCAGATACACGAGCTGATACACACTGAGATACTGAGATACAGATACTACTCATATGCGACCCCCCGATCGTTATGCAAATGCAAAAACCAGCAGCAGCAGCAGGAAGCAGTCAATAGCCAATATAGAGAGACACAAATAACTAATAAAATATTCTAAAATACCGAAACGAATGACCTGAACGTAGAGTCGGAACAAGTTTGTAGTTTTGATAGTTATTATTAGAAACTATTTTCAGTAATATATGTATATAGTTGCAATTACTAATTACAACGATTTATCTCCTTGCAGCATTCCCACAGACTCCGCGATGGCGGCCACAAACAACGATGGTGGCACACAGCCGCAGAATGCTGTTTCGGCCTGGGGCCAGCCCGCTGCCGGGCCACGCAACACACAGGCCGCCGTGTCCGTGCGACATGCCTTCAAGGCCTATGGCAAAAAGAAGAACGCCAACCAGGTGCTCAATAACCTGAATATGACAGTCCCCAAGGGAACAATGTAAGTAGCAGTCGTCTGTCCTCTGTCTCTGTCTTCTATAAAAGTGAAATGTTGACAGCTTCATTTAGCAACTAAATAAAATAGAAACGGCGAAAGTAATTAACACATCAGAGCATCACAACATCAGAGCAGTGCCCATGGGATCTCGATTATATAGTATATAGTATATACTGTATATTTGATCGACTCGAATTAGACGATCGAAGCAGACGATTTCCTTGTAACTAAGATTTGATTGCATGCCACGAGATTTTAGAGTCTCCGTCAGAGGTCAGTTGGTTACGCTCGAGCTCGAGCTCGAACTCGAACCTCTACAAGTAATTGCGGCAATTATATGGCTAACCAGTCCAGTCCGGGCCAAGACTAGTTTGCGCGCTCGTACTGTACTCGTATCTATCTTGTAATTGAGACGGCATTTTTGCATGATAATTTGATGCGGCTAACGAGGGTCGTTAGAGCACTTCGCCACACAGATGCCCCAAAGAAGTGATCCCCATTAAGGCCTAAGAGGCTTCCTCTTCCACCTGGCTGACGTCAATATCTGGTCCCATTCTACACGTTTTCACAATTAAAAAACAAATGCCGTCCGCATGCAAAGACTGCCATTGATTTGCGATATCTGGAAATAAAACCAATATGCAAAGCAACATTGATCGATTATTGGCAGGAAAACGATACTCAGAGTTCGATTTGCTTTTGTTTGTTTGCCTTCTACATACATCTCTCCATCTCTGTCCCGGCACATGTGCTTAATTGTGCCCGCCCCTAAGATCCGACCCGCTTCATGAATTTTTTGGCAAACATTTAGGGGCCATAAATTTTCAATCGTAAATAATTCATTTTTTATTTCTGCCTTTGGCATTGATAGTGCCCGAAGCTAAAGCCCGAAGTATTGCTAAAGTGTTGGTGTGCCGTGTCTCTGATTTCGGCATTCTTAATGATTTATAAGGCACACTTAACCATCCAGCTATCAGGGCTTGTGTGTATGTCGTAACGGAGTTTTATTCTACGACTAACAAAACGAGTATTATGCTGCAGTCTTGACCCAGTTAACAGTTTGGTTCGTTCAGCTTTGACCTAGGTCATGTCAGTTGTCGAGTCAACGAACTGCACGCAGCGGCAGCGACAACGGCCAGCAGGCCAGGTCCAAATGGCTTTTGGGCTTGTTTTCAAAGTCACTGAGGACTGACGATTATGCCAATTAAAGTCTGCCAGTCTGCGACTATCCTATCTGGGGTTATATCAAATGTTGTTTATAGCCAAAGTTTAATTCGGTAAATGGCGCTGCGTGTTAATTATAATAATAAATCCAATAACAGGCCAAAACGTGCGACCTACGTGCCGCAACATTTTGTCAAAGGCCGAAAGTCCCAACGAAAACAGACGACAAAATAACAATCCGATAATCACGATAATCATCGCCTATGAACCTCATCATGATGATAGCCCGTCTGCTTCTGCCACTCCACAAAAAGAGGCGGAGTCGCGTATCTGGCTGGGGTAGGAGGGGAAATGCTACAACTATATTTCTTACTTTTCAAGGTGAACATTTCGAAATAATTCAACTTGAACTGCGGGAATTAGCATTGACATCGTCGCTGACATGCCACGAACGTTATACATAGGTTATATGTATGTACGATAATACGATTATATGTATATATCCCATGTTTGTGACGACAGTTTTCGTGCTGAATTTGCGAAAACAATGCTTTCTCGCTGTCGTTCTCTAAACGATTTAGTATCCATTAATAGTAGACTTAAAAGAGTGTATATAACTTCTCTACCAGCTGATGTTCGACCTATAGAAATCCAGAAAACTTAGAGAAGAATAGGTATAGAGATATGATCTACAAATCTACCAAATATCATACTGTTCGGATGTTTTCTTTAGCACCTCTGTTTTGGTTAGTTTCTCATCCCAATATCTTTATGCTTCCTCCTTTAGTTATGGCCTACTGGGTGCCTCTGGCTGTGGCAAGACCACACTGCTCTCCACCATTGTGGGACGCCGCTACTTGGACTCCGGCGAGATTTTCGTCTTGGGCGGCAAGCCAGGCACCCGGGGATCGGGTGTGCCTGGCAAGCGTGTGGGTTACATGCCCCAGGAGATTGCCCTCTACGCAGAGTTCTCCATTAAGGAGACCATGATGTACTTTGGCTGGATCTTTGGCATGGAGACCAAGGAGATTGTGGAGCGCTTGCAGTTCCTGCTCAACTTCCTCGATCTGCCATCGGAGAAGCGTCTGGTCAAGAATCTGAGTGGCGGGCAGCAGCGTCGCGTCAGCTTCGCTGTGGCTCTCATGCACGACCCGGAGTTGCTCATTCTCGATGAGCCAACTGTGGGTGTGGATCCCCTGCTGCGTCAGAGCATCTGGAATCACTTGGTGCACATCACAAAGGCTGGCCAGAAGACGGTCATCATTACCACACATTACATTGAGGAGGCGCGACAGGCGCATACGGTAAGGGATCTCTTAAGAGGAGTATTTGTAGACCTTCGCCTCATCTTTCCCTTTCTTCCAATCCTTAGATCGGTCTTATGCGATCCGGACACTTGCTGGCGGAGGAGTCGCCCAGTGTCCTGCTTTCCATCTACAAGTGCATCAGTCTTGAGGAGGTTTTCCTGAAGCTCTCGCGCATCCAGAGCCAGAAGGGAGACGTGACCCATGTGAACTTCAGGTAAGTCCCAGCCGGTCAAAGTAAACGTGTTTAACCCCTCTAGCGTCGCACACTCTAATCCCCAAAACCGTAATCTTTTCCATTTGGCACTCCACTCGCATGCTCGCAATCTGTGTTCCACCATACACCATCCATCTCTGTGTGTTTTGTGATAATTTGGAGTAGTAACAACATCTCGTTGCACGCAATGGCCTTTGGCAGCAAGATGGACAAGCCCAGCTCCAGCCAAGAGGGCGGCGTTGTGGGCCTCAACTTTCACCAGAGCAAGGAGGTGCTGATCAATGACAGCAATGGCTCCATCTACACGGTTTGTTCTCCTCTTTTCGGCCGATCCCCTTGCTCATTTCTGTGTTTTGCCCCAATGTTAGCTCAACCAGGAACCGTACAGCCCACCGCCTTCCAGGCGCAACAACAACCCCAATGATGAGGAGAGCTGCCAGGACTGCTATGCCAATCTCTGCAAGGTCACCTCGAAGGGCAAGATCCGTGCCCTCTTGACCAAGAACATGCTGCGCATGTGGCGTAATGTGGGTGTGATGCTGTTCATCTTTGCCCTGCCCGTGATGCAGGTGATCCTCTTCTGTCTGGCCATTGGACGCGATCCACAAGGCCTCAATCTGGCCATAGTCAACGGAGAAATGAACAATACGGTATGCCAGAGCTACTAGAAGATCTCCCAGTTCGGAGTCACAATTCTGTTCTTTTAGGAGACCTGCTTCTGGGAAGACGGCTGTCACTTCGCCAACCTGGGATGTCGCTATCTGAATCACCTGAACACGAGCGTGGTCAAAACGTACTATACGGAACTAGAAGACGCCAAGGCGGCCGTGAGAAGAGGCGAGGCCTGGGGAGCTGTCTACATCACGGAGAACTTCACGGACGCCTTCACAGCACGCGCTGCCCTTGGCCGCGAGGCGGATGACGAGACGCTCGATCAGTCCGAGGTGAAGGTCTGGCTGGATATGTCCAATCAGCAGATCGGCGTCATGCTGAACCGCGACATACAGCTGGCATATCGTGACTTTGCCATGGGCCTGCTCGGACAGTGCGGCAACAATCCCAAGTTGGGCGATGTCCCGATTCAGTTCCGAGATCCCATCTATGGCACCATGAATCCCTCATTTACCGATTTCGTAGCACCCGGCGTGATCTTGACGTAGGTTTTTGCTATAAAATATATGAGAATACAATTAATATTTTATTTTATTGATTTATAGAATTGTCTTCTTTTTGGCTGTTGCTTTGACGTCATCTGCATTGATTATTGAGCGCACTGAGGTAACGAAGAGATGCATATATATATATAGCACTGCATATATTAACTTCCTGGATTCATTTCAGGGCTTGTTGGACCGTTCTTGGGTGGCTGGTGTTTCCCCTGGCGAGATCCTCTTCTCCCATGTCATCACCCAGTTCGTGGTGATGTGTGGCCAGACCACGCTGGTGCTCATCTTCATGCTGGTGGTCTTCGGTGTGACCAACAATGGTGACCTGTTCTGGGTGATTGTGCTGACGCTGCTGCAGGGCATGTGCGGCATGTGCTTCGGCTTCCTCATCTCCTCCGTTTGCGAGCTGGAGCGCAATGCCATCCAATTGGCGCTGGGCTCCTTCTACCCCACCCTGCTGCTGTCTGGCGTGATCTGGCCCATCGAGGGTATGCCCGTGGTGCTGAGGTAAGCGTCTCCTCGAGAGTCTCCGAGAATCCAAGTACAATCCTTCTCTCCGTTAGATATATTTCATTGTGCCTGCCCTTGACGCTGGCCACCTCATCGCTGCGCTCCATTCTCACCCGTGGCTGGGCGATATTCGAGTCTGATGTCTACATTGGCTACGTGAGCACGCTCTCCTGGATCCTGGGCTTCCTGATCCTCACGATGCTGGTTCTGCGGGCGAAGCGCGGCTAGAGGAGTCGTCTGTAAACCGGAGTACATAATTTTAGATCGCGTTTAGTCGTCATTGTCGTCCCTTCATAGCTCTTAAGATAGTTTCCCCCTGGTTGTTTATTTTTTTAAATTCTCAAACACTCTACCCCTCGACCTTTGCTCCTTTATGTGTATCTCTCTTTTTCCGCCCAAATGTCATAAATTATTTAAGCACACGCAGCTTTCCTTAGCTTCTACTTCGCACTGCACTCCGAGCCCTATAAGTAGTCGTTTAAGTCTGCACATTTCGTAGTTTAATTTGTAAGGTTTAGGTACCTAAATGAATTGTTGTTGCTGTAAATATGTTTTGTGTCACAAATTAGAAGAAAAAGTCCGTTTGTGAGCGACCTACCTAGACGTCCATTATTCGCAATCCTCTGTTCTAGACCTTCTCTTGATTCCAAAACGGGCAATTTATTACACACACACACACACAACACTAATTTTATATATTTTTCAATGGACTGTGATTGTTTTTTTACATATTTCACGCGAAAGCCTAAAGAACAAAAAAAAAACAAGAAAAACAAACAAAAACAATATGGTGGGTTTTGTTAATAACATTAAGTAGTTTAAAGCATTTTTGTATGGGTTTAAGTTTTTTAAGTTAAAACATAATTAAATACAATAATGTACACACTACCCTAAAGAGTATATCCACATATACGAATACACATATTTCAGGAAATATTATGCTCAAGGCATAAGTATTTCACAACGAAAAAATCGTAAGATAAAGAACAAACAACGAACAAGTGAAGCAAAAGTCCTTATTTAAGCATGACCAATCATTTACTATGTGAGCGCAGTTATGTATAAATAACAATAAAAACGTGAATAAAAATCTATATATCAATCTTTTCATAGAATTGAGATTAGTTCTAAAAACTCAAAAAGCTAGTCTTTGGATTGATGTTTTATAGTTTATAAACATTAACCAGTTTCACGTGCTATGCATCAGGACAATCTCTACAAGCAAAATATTGATGCAAAATTATTTTCGAAAATCTCATTCAAATTTTGTTTTATCGATAAGCCGCGCGCATAACAGAACATAACAGATAGCGTGAGGATAACAGCAATATCTAACTTTAACAGGCCAGCTGTGTCATTCGATTACTGCCTATCGTAGAGATGAGCAAGCTGTCATGCTACAAACACAGTCACAGTATTACTCATACAGTGACTGTTGTCTTAACATCCTGTTACTTAACAAGACTGATAGATTAATACATTTTGAACTTTCATGACATGACTGTATTATGGTGAAACTATTTTCATTGCACATCTGCAAGATGCAAGATAAATATTGCAGGAGACAAGAAATGTATGTATTGCGATTCAATTTTCAATGCAATCTAGGATGATAGATGTGGGAACAGCAGTGACTTAAAAATACTCGTGACAGATAACAGCTACCCAGCTGTTGCGCATCTCTGTTATGCGTCGACTATTGTACATCCCTAGTTTCCGCAGCTAAAAGCAAAACAAAATGCAATTTTATTAAAAACAAACAAACAACTTTCAACGAAATGGACAAAGCGAGGTCCAGCGTTTACGAGAAGTTTACTGGATTTGTCGACCAACTACGCAACACAGAATGCAGGTGGGTTGTGGCTTTTGTTGCGTTGAATGTCTCTGTTGTGTGCTGCTGCATCGGATCGAATGCTTAGGGGGAGGGGACCGGCAACAGTTTGTTGTTCATTATGCCATCTATATATAAGCATATATTGATTCGATTCCACTGTCAAGGCCATGCCCGAAATGCGGCATCGCCCTCAGTTTAATGAACCAACAATTCCAGCAGCAAAAACATTATCAATAATATTTTTATCGAGCGCATCCGCTATGACGTCATCGCGCATACCTGTGCACTTTGTTAATCTTCCAAATCTTTTCACAGCCAAAAGCAGAAGATCACCTGCTTCCAGCAGATAGCAGAGTGCATCATGTCACCTGCACTGGCGGGGCACATCAACTATTCCGCCCACTGCGGCACGGCCACCAATGTGCTGCTGCTCTTCTGCGAGGATCTCGACTCGAAGGTGCGAATGAGTGCCGAGGAGAATCTCAACAAGATCTTTCGCGCCCTGGAGAAGACGCGGGTCAGCCGCATACTGATGGATTTGTATGGCGAAATCAAAAGGAATGGTAATCAAAGGTAGGAGGATACCTAAAACCCACAATCAGCGGAATCCTATAATCATTTACCTATTTTTTAGATCGTTGCGCATTTGCTTGAATCTATTTTCCTACTACGCACCTCACATCAAAGAGAAGCATATCAAATGGTATGCAGTCCGGCTGCTGCAATGCATGTCCACCATATCGCAGCGCAAGGAGACCCTTCTCCAGGAGACGCTCTGTGATTTTGTGAAGCATTTTGGCCGCTATGTGCAGCAGGGACTAAGCGACAGCGAAACCTGCAAACTGTTGGAGGTGGGAAGCAGCTGCAAGCATCGGTCTATCCATGGAACTATTTACCCAACTGTCGTATTTATTTTTGTAGATATTTCTGGACAACATTGGCGCAGATTGTGCAGTCAAGCGCCGCTGTTCGGCCCAAAATTGCATCAGCCTGATCGAGCATGCACGCCACAGAAGCCTCATGGCCAGGCATGGACTCAACAAAGTGATGGGTAAGCGGAAATGAAGCGCCTGATAAGAATGCAATAATCCAACTGTAGGATAGCCTTATTTTAAGCCGGAATTGAATCCACTTGATGTGTATTGCATTCCCGCTAGGACTGCTAATTTGCAAAAGTATTTTTTTTTTTTCTCAAAAGCTGCCTTCATTTATTATTCATGTTGGGTTAACTAATCCTTGATTTGGTGTCAAAGAGTTTTGCTTCTATTACTGGCCATTTAACTCCTCTCCTCTCCTATCCTCTCCTCTAAAAACCTGTACTCTCATCAATAATGAAAAAGGTGTTTAAAAAGCGTGTAAAATTCAAAATTCTAAAGCCGAATCTACATATATATGTACATATACATATGTATATGGTTGGACGGTTGGCTGGAAAAATATTTTTAATATTCTAAAAAGCCGCAAATCCATGAAAAATACCAGACCAACAATATACAAAGCAAAATACAGAAAAAGTGAGAATAGGAGTGGAGTCCATTCAAAAACTGGTATTGTGAATGCATTCCCATCCATGAATATTCGTTTTGTCCATCGTCGGCGGCGGCGGCGGCGACGGCTACGGCGGCGGTTGGTTTGTGCCACAATAAAAGGGTGTAGACAGTTGATATAAATTATATTTGTGGATGGCTCTTGGTTACCTTTTGCCATCATCCATCGATGGACGAGAGATGTACATCGGGTGTACATCTACTTTTATTGTTTTTTGCTGTGCGGAATTTGTTATGATTTTAGACAACGATACTTGAATGGGTTTTATTTTAGCATTTGCTGACTGGCGGACTGCGGCAAATGCTCGTTTCCAACTGCAGCGACAACAAAAGTCATAGACATGTGAAAATGCTAAAAAATTGCGCACACAAATCATTTTTTATTGAATTTTCCTGCAAATATTATTGGCAAACCTTCGCCCAGAGATGCACCTTAGTTACAGCATTTATAGTTTTTTATTTTGTTTTTATATCGGACTAGAGGGCGCAAATAAAGCAACTAGAAATAGGAATTCGAGTGGCCAGTGCATCTGAAATATAGAGAACTACTATACCAAATATAGGTACATATAGTTTTTGAGTATTAATTGCTTACTGTGTTGCAAGAGTGTTTGCTTGGGTCTGACCTCACTGGGAGTTTCATATGAATTAAATTAGAAATTGACTTCACCTTTTGCTCTTTTCTTGTCCAAATGTTTACCTTCAAATCAACTCCTTCAACTCCTGGTGCTGCCTGGCGCTGCCTGGTGCTCCTGGTTCTAGTCCTGTGTCAACTGTATGCCACTTCTACGCAAAGGCAATGCCAGCACAATGCCCAGGCAACTCTTCAGCGCATCCTTATACAGTCTGGCGCCTCCTTTTATGGTCGCCCATCATAGCCGGGAGTACTTGTGCCCCGGCATGCCCCAACAAACAGACACAAAGTACGGCCCAGCCAGGGCCTTGCCCTCAGCCTCCGCCTCCGCTGCCCATCTCCGCCATCTCTGCCATCTCCGTTTGTTTGTCTCTGGCTTTGCTCCATCTTCTGCTCCCTGCTCTTGCTTCCTGCTCCGTGCTCCCATATAACTGCCCTTAGACGAAATGAAATTTATGCACTTGGACACTTCCATGCAATAATTCATGCGAAATTGAATCAGATATTCATTCCTGTGCAGCTTTAAAGCGGATAATCAACGTTGTAAACAAATGCAGGCGCTCTTTGCAGCAAAGCCAGCAAAAAAGCAGAAATGCAGAATTTACGATGCGCAGCTAAACAAAAAGTGCAAATTATTTTTCATGTCAACTGTGGCAGCATAAATAGCCAAATGTCCAGGAATTTCCCTTTCGAAATGTATTTCATAGTTTACCCCATGACAGGACTAAGTGAAGCCCCCAAAGGAGAAGCTTGAAGCTTTCGATTCACTTACAGATAGAAACCTCTAGAATGCGAGTAAGTAATGGCTTTTTCTGTCATTGGTCATCACAACTTCTGACTCCATTGTCGCATATCCATCACCATTAAGCACCTGAGTGCGTGCGGGTGTGTGAGAAACTATTAATTGCAGTCCTTAAACGTGCCCGGCATGATCGTTCCGTTTTGCGGATGCCTCCTCCGCCAATTTTGAAGAAAGTTCTTGCGGCTTTTGCCGCAATTAATTGATACACATGAAAACAGGCCGCAAGTTGTGCTCTGGTGGCAAAGTCACTTGGCTGCCGCTGCTGCCACCGAGGGCCATGTAAAAAGTTTCGCCAGCGAGCAGGAGAGAGTGAGAGAAGTGTTTTCAATTTTGCGCCCCAAAGGAAGAAAATGAAAACTAATTGAGTAACAAACTTCCAACATGGCGTTTTGTGATTGGTGGCGTATACGTAATGAAACGACAAATAAGGAGAGACAACACGAGAGCCAAGAGCCAAGAGATGGAGCAAGAACAGAACTCTTGCTCCTACTTCTGGTGCTTCTGGAGCTTCTGGTGGTTCTGGGTTGTGGAGTCTATAAATATCAGATGGAAACTTTTCAACGAGATAAATTTAATTGGAGGCAATTTGTTGCAAAACATATGAGGGAAAACTTCGAAAAGAACACGAAAGAAAAGTATGAACTGCTATTGGCCAAACCGGCCAAACGCGCAAGTGGGTAAAGGTATCGTATCTATCTATCGACGGGTATCTTTGGCATCGCCTCTGTATGAGCATCTGTATCTGTTTCAGTGTCTTTGAGCAAATTGGAATTGCCAACGCATGCTGCGCAAAAAGAAAAGTTTGAAGAGCATTTTTAATTTGTAGCAGCAGCGGCAGCAGCAGCCAACCCAGACTTAAGTTTTCTCTCCATTAACTAACTTATCTCCTCTCTCTGCTTCCATTATAGAGCTCCTTCTGACGGATCAGCAGAGCAACTGCGTGCTGGGCGCCTTGGGGCTGTTGCGTCTGCTGTTGCCGCAGCTAATACGCGGCTATTCTGCGGATAATCATGACGATGCCGAGTCCCTGGTCGGGCAGCAGCAGAAACAGCAACAACACCAGGCCACGACCTCCGACTGTCGGCAAATTATTGAAATTTATGATTATTGTCTGCACCTGCTGAGCACGCAGCCCACAACGAATCACGCCATTATAAATGCCACACTGGAGGTCATCAATGGCATACTCCAGGCCCTGGATGGAGTGCCTGGGTCTGGGCCTGGGCCTGTGGCGGAGGGGCAGTTGAGTCTGGGCCAGAGTTTGCGCCAACTGTTGT